CAGAGGTAAATATGGTCAGAAAGGACTTGCGAGACTCCCCGTTGGAAAACAGTGACTTCATCTGGTTCACGGATGGAAGCAGTTTCATGCAGGATGGACTAAGGTATGCGGGAGCCATGGTGGTAAACAACCGGGAGGAGATTATTTGGGCTGACGCTTTACCGCCAGGAACTTCCCCTCAGAAAGCTGAACTTATCGTCCTGGTGGAGGCATTGGAAAGGGCAGAGGGAAAGAGGCTAATGGTCTACATGGACAGTCGTTACGCATATGCAACTCTTCATATACATGGCACCATCTACAGGGAGCGTGGGTTCAAAAACACAGAAGGGAGAAAAATAAAGAACCAGATGGAAATTCTTCGCTTGTTATCAGCTGTGACCCGGACAAGAATGGTAGCGGTGGTCCACACCCCAGGGCATCAGAGAGGACACTTCCCTGAAGCAAGAGGCAACCGAGCAGCGGACCAGGCAGCTAAGAGAGTTGCCCTCCAAACTGTATGAACTTTAATAACTAACTTACCTTGCCTGCAACTGGAACCCTGCCTCCTACTCCCAACTATTCTGGAGAGGACATACAGTGGGCTGAGAAATCACCACAGATAGAAAAAGATCAGAATGGATGGTATATGGACTCAGAAGGAAAACTGATTGTCCCAGAAGGATTGGGATGGCACCATCTCACACACCTCCACCAAGTGACTCACTTAGGGGAACGGAAAATGTTGGAGTTATTGGACAAAGGGCAGATCCGTATACCCCGTCAGAAGCAAGCGGCTCAGAGTGTGGTGGACTGGTGCCAGGCCTGTCATGTCATGAAAATACAGAAGAGGAAGAACACACACGCAGGTACAAGGAGGAGTGGGAGGGAGCCTTGTCGTCATTGGGAAATAGATTTCACTGAAGTTAAACCAGGTAAATATGGATACAAATATCTCTTAGTGTTAGTGGATACTTTCTTGGTATGGGTGGAAGCGTACCCCAACTAGAAGGGAAACAGCAGTGGTAGTGGCCAAGAAAATTTTAGAAGAGATAGTACCCAGATATGGAATGCGTAGAACGTTAGGGTCAGATAATGGACCAGCTTTTGTAAGTAAAGTTATCCAGAGCTTAGCCTCAACTTTGGGGGTGAATTGGAAACTACATTGTGAATATAACCCTCAGAGTTTGGGGCAGGTAGAAAGAATGAACAGAACCCTAGAGGAGACCCTATCTAAATTGGCAATAGAAACTGGCGGAGACTGGGTGACCCTCCTTCCCTTCGTGCTCTACCAGGCTAGGAACACCCCGTACATGCTGAATCTGACCCCATTTGAAATAATGTATGGGACACCACCCCCTATTATTTCCAACCTGGAAAAATGTCCCAATGACTTGTCAAAAGATTTGATCTTGGAGATGAAAACTCTCCAAGTAATTCAGAGGGAATTATGGCCCAAATTCCGGGCCATATATGAAGGTCCTCTTAGTGAACAAGGGAATTTCCATGAGTTTGAACCAGGAGATTGGGTATGGATAAAGAGGCACCAGAAAAAAATACTGGAACTGAAATGGAGGGGACATTATGTTGTTGTTCTTGTGACCACCACTGCTCTTAAAGTAGAAGGAATCAGCACCTGGATACACCACTCCCATACCAGTAGAGCTAACCAGACGGAACAGCAGTCTGCACGAGCGAATTGGAAAGCGTACTCCAATCCTGAAAACCCGCTGAAAGTCAAGTTAACGCAGCACCATGGAGATTAGAGTCCTTCTCGCCCTCACCCTAAGCTTTTACCGCCTCATGATAAGTATCGCGACTCACCAACCCTATAAATTTACATGGCGAATTTGCAATGGACAAACCCATGAGACCTTAAACTCCACCACCCACACCACCCCCCCCTTAACGTATGGTGGCCTGATTTATTTTTCTCGCTCGCGACACTTACTGACTGTTCCTGGGATGAAGGTTTTATCCATAAGATTTTTTTTTTTTTTTTTTTTTGCATGCCCTGGGTACAAAAGGAATGTCCAGCAATGCGGGTGGCTTATTTGGTATTACTGCAAAAGTTGGAATGGAAGTGGAATGTAAAAGCCCAGGACTATGTAACATTCTCCTTTGCCAAGCCCAGACGTACTTATAGGTTAGGAAAGTGTAAGGAATGTG